TTTGATTCATACTGTAAATTTGATTCATACTTGTAATGTGGCAAAGTTGTACCTTTTTAACTTGTTTTGTAACTTAAAAACTTGCATTCTCACAAAAGAATTGTACTTGTAAATTTGATTCATACTTGTAATGTGGCAAAGTTGTACCTTTTTAACTTGTATTTGTAACTTAAAAACTTGCATTCTCACAAAAGAATTGTACTTGTAAATTTGATTCATACTGTAAATTTGATTCATACTTGTAATGTGGCAAAGTTGTACCTTTTTAACTTGTATTTGTAACTTAAAAACTTGTATTCTCACATAAGAATTGTACTTGTAAATTTGATTCGTACTTGTAATGTGGCAAAGTTGTAACAAATTTATGTACGTTTATAGTCTTACATGTACAAATTTAGACTCTTACGCATACAATGATTCTGACAGTTCTCTTACCCGATAGTTCCAAGGCTTCCCCGGCTTCTTGCCGCTAGTCAACGGAAGGGATTTCCTATTATGGTGAGGCAGCCAGGTTTTTCCTGCATGAAGGGGCGTGTCCTCAGGACACCGAGCTTCCTGCTTTCCCTCCTCCTCCTCCTCCGTGTTTTTACTCTGTCCTTGTGGTGAGTTGGTGTCGTTCACTCGCTTTAAATAATGTCTGCAGTTGATTTGTGATGGTAAGTTTAATGTCCGCGCTCCTGTGTTGCGCAGCATCGGTTCCCCCTTCTGCACCAAACCGAGCCGGACTGTTCCACCTCGGTTCGGAAAGTGGGGGGGCGTGTGGTGAAGTAAAATTGCTCCCCCGAAGTTGTGACTCCGCATCTCGCGGGGGTTTAGTGTCACACAGTGTATATTTAGCAGAGGTGGAGTAGTGTGGTGTTAAACGACGCTGTTTGGCTGTTTCAGTGTTTTTTATTTTTATTTTTCCGGACGGTCCAGACTCGGTGTGGTCTCCTGTGACCTGCAGGGGGGAAAGTCGGCGTCACTCACGATTTACTGCAAAGTTTTTGTTGTTGTGCTGTTGCTGTGAGCTTTGTACTCCAAACATTTACCTGTTTTCTCGCAGGTCTGCGGCTTTTTCGAAGGTATGCTGGAGAAACTTGAACTAGACGATGATGGTAAGTGTCCCCTTCAGCCTCCTGTAAATTTTAGCTTAATGGAGTGCAGGTGCTTGGATAATAACTGGTAATGCAGTTATTTCTAGTCTCAGCTGTACTTTTGTAGGCAGAGAGTGGAGCCTTAAAGCAAAAACTTCATCTGCTCTCATGAATCTGAACCATATTTTATTAATAGATGGGTTGATTTAAATATCATGAATTATATTCAGCAGAATTTAATAAGGGCAGACAGGTGTTAAGTTTTGTTAAACATACTGACAAGATTCACTTTTTTAATTATTTGTTTGGACGTCATTCATCATCACAGAGAAGTTGCAGGATATAAACGTTAACGTCTCAGGWTTGATGCTTTTTGTTCCCCACTTTTCTCACCTGTAAAGCTCATAACGTCATCGACAAATGTTGTGCCATCACATTACAAAGTTGAACAAAAACAAACTAATCTAGCTCAGTTGGATCTTAGATCTCAGAGTGCTTTACTTAAATGTCAACAAGCACACAAACAGTGGAAAAACTTGGGCGGCAGAGTGTAATTATCAGTAGGATGGAGCAGGAAAGTGACTAAGTGGTCCARTGGCTGTAATGGGTGTTTAGGCTGTGTGCTTGTCTTGTTTCCAGCCTGTCATTACTTATTCCCTGGGAGATTTTCCTCCTTCCTAAAGATTCTCCCTGCTTTCTGTTCTCACAGCTGCTGAGCCCGAGAGTGATATTTACATGCGCTTTATGAAATCCCACAAGTGCTATGACATCGTCCCCACGAGCTCCAAGTTGGTTGTGTTCGACACGGCGCTCCAGGTAAATCCATCGAATTAACCTGTGATTGGGAGCTTGTCCAGTTTGTCTGGTTCACAAAAGCAAGGAGAAAATACCGTTTTTGATTYGCTAACTGCACAGACTTTCAGTGTTAACTTGTTGTGGAATGGAGCAGGTTAGAGGAGCAGTTTCCACAAGCTCATTACCATGAAGCGGTTAACCAGTAATCCAGGAGAGTTCAGAGCTCTTTGATTTGTAAATCTTCAACCAGTGAAACTGAAAGTTAAGATTACTTATCTAAAGGTGAAGAAAAACCAGCTAAACTCCACTAAAGCTTCTTTCCTTTTATAGATGAGTTTCATGTTTTTTTCCATCCTTTTCCCTCTACTTAATTGTATTGTTTATAGAGTGTTCAGATGATGCACAGACGATGAAGTGGAGGGGCAGTAAGGCTCGAAGGATGTTAGCGAGGCAGCTGTGGAGATGTGTAGTTGGACGGGACGTGGAGGTAGTTGKAGTGAGGCATAATGGAGGAGGGTGACTTGCTGTGGCRACCCCCC